AATGCATTTTACACTTATTTTATGTTTTTTAGCCAAAAAAAGGTCTAAAAAAAATTTCGCCTCGCTCCGCTCGAGGAAATTTAATACTACGCCCCCCCTTTCCAAAATCCTGGATCCGCCCCTGAATATCATGCCAAGCACATTCACTTCAGTGTCGTATCATAAAAATTCACACAGTATCAAGTCATACCCATTTACCTCAATATCATGCCAAGCACATTTACTTCAGTATCGTATCATACAAATTCACACAGTATCAAGTCATACCCATTTACCTCCATATCATGCAAAACACATTTACTTCAGTGTCGTATCATACAAATTCACACAGTATCAAGTCATACCCATTTACCTCAATATCATGCCAAGCACATTTACTTCAGTGTCGTATCATACAAATTCACACAGTATCAAGTCATACTCATTTACCTCAATATCATGCCAAGCACATCTACTTCAGTGTCGTATCATACAAATTCACACAGTATCAAGTCATACCCATTTACCTTAATATCATGCCAAGCACATTTACTTCAGTGTCGTGTCGTACAAATCCACACAGTCTCAAGTCATACCCATTTACCTCAATATCATGCCAAGCACATTTACTTCAGTGTCGTATCATGCAAATTCACTCAGTATCATGTCATACACATTTATCTTAGTGCCAAGACATACATATTACCCCAGTATAATGTCATACACATGTCACAGAAATTCACATCAGAATCAAGTCATACCCAATTACCTAGTATAAAGTAAAATAACAAAAATACCGAACTTCAAAGGAAATTCAAATCGGAAAGTCCTTTATAAAACGGCAAAATCAAAATCTCAAACACATCTAATGAATGGAAAACAACTGTCATATTCCTGACTTGGTACAGGCATTTCCTTATGTAGAAAATAGTGGATTAAACCTGGTTTTATAGCTAGCTAAACCTCTCACTTGTATGACAGTCGCATATAATATCATACACATTTACCTCAATATCAAGTCCTACACATTTACCTCAATATCATGTCATACACATTACCTCAATATCAAGTCATACACATTTACCTCAATATCAAGTCATAGATATAGGAAGATGTGGTATGAGTGCCAATGAGACAACTCTCCATCCAAGTTACAATTTATAAAAGTAAACCATTATAGGTCAAGGTACGGCCTTCAACACGGAGTATTGGCTCACACCGAACAGCAAGCTATAAAGGGCCCCAAAAAATTACTAGTGTAAAACAATTCAAATACACATTAACCTCAATATCATGTCATACACATTAACCTCAATATAATGTCATTCACATTTACCTCAATATCAATTCATATACAATTACCTCAATATTAAGTCATACACATTTACCTCAATATCAAGTTATGCAGATTTACCTCAATATAAAGTCATACACATTCATCCCGATATCATATCATTCACATTTACCTCAATATTAAGTCATACACATTTACCTCAATATCAAGTCATGCAGATTTACCTCAATATAAAGTTATACACATTCATCCCGATATCATGTCATTCACATTTACCTCAATATCAAGTCATACACATTTACCTCAATATCAAGTCATACACATTTACCTCAATGTCAAGTCATACACACTTACCAAGGTATTATGCCATACACATTAACCTCTGTATGATGTCATTACACATTTACCTCAGTATAATGAAATGTATGCTGACGTCCTAGCTGAAGTGAGATTTTATGCACCACAACGGGCACCACTAGTTGACCAGGAGCTGCTTACCTTTCTCAGCACATGAGTTCCCATAGATTTTGGCGGGGTTCATGTCACTCAATATTTAGTTTACTCTGAGGGATTTCATGCAATTCCATCAGTTTTTGTTCGTTACCTTAATATATGTTCTCAATAGATTTAAGAGATTTGAACTTCAATTTACTGCCGTTGCCCTAATTTCATATCTTCTCCATTTTTACACATATAAATTGTCATTATACTGATGCCAGTTGTCATATTTTAATTAACTGCCAAATAATATGTCATTGTTATTGACCATAAAATCCTGTTTTATGCACTTGGCAGAAAGTAATGGCCTTGATATAACTTTATCAGACATCTAGTAGTTATTGATACTTTAGTACATAAATGTTAAGTACTGTAAGTTTTTATATAACAAGGATTTTAAACATTGACGTGTAACTAAATGTAATGCAATTGCCTTACTTTTTAACCTTGCTATATGGATAAATGAAAAAACTATTCATAACTTACTTTATGTTGAAAGATGTTACAGTTTACATAATTCAAGTCTGATATAGGATAACTACACATTGTATGCAAGACAATAATGAAAATTTAAATCTTTAAAGATCAGAATGACATTGATACTGCATTTGAATTATTATAATGTTAGGTATGTTAGCAGAGGAAAAGTATAGGTTTCACTGTGTATCATCAACATGTTTCTCTACACTGATCTAGAGGGTAATCCAAACGTTAGAACCATTCTTACAAAGAAATAAGTCTTGTATGTACAGAAAGGATATACATATGTTTTGAACACAAATATTGAATGTTCTTTTTGATACATTGTGCTGGAAATTAATAAAAGCACCCGTAGACAGATGCTTCCTTTGGGAATGCATTACATACCTCATACTATTCTAAATCTTTTGCTGGTCATGGACTCATGTCATTAATTAGAATGTTAAATAAGTGAATTCTTCATTTTTGAAATTTAAAAAGTTATAGCCTCAGTAAGATCCTGTTATACCACAATTTTAAGCCTCGGCTCAGTATCTTATTAGATTGTACCTGCCAAGTTTGTATACATGTCAACATGCTCTGTGCTGCTACAAAACAGCTGTCAGCATCTTAAAACTGAAAGTAATGTTTCTGAATTTGGGATTTTTATACATATTTTGCTTACCCTTCCGGAGCACCTGAGATCACCCCCAGTTTTTGGTGGGGTTCGTGTTGAAATGAAATTGATCATTCTTTCTTCAGACACAACTGTCAGATTTAAGTATTAATTTTATGAATGAAAGTAAATGCTAACATGTGTGGTATGTATGGTTCTTCTCATTCTTGATTTTTATTTTAAGACAACATCAAGATTTGAAACCAATAAATAGGATGTTAAAGAAGGTCTTTTAAACAAATGAACAAAAACATCATGTAACAAAATCATTGTACTTTCATATTTATGGTCATATAGGTCTTTTTCCATGTCAAATTGGTATAGAATAACATCTGAGAAGACAGTCACATTACTTTGATGTAGTTTGAATAGTTAAAGTTATGTTAAATTAAATCACAAGTTATAAACTAATAACAGATTCAGATTTTATTAACTTGAAACTATTCATATTCAAATTCAATATACTCTCATCAAGAGGCCCACAGCCAAAACATCAGAAACTAATTGAAAAAATATTGAACACTACAATTCAAATTGTGGCCTAAAAAATGGCAGTTACTGTCTGGGGTTAGATTTGCTTGAGGGAGTAGGAAACTTAGTTTTTAAGGCATAGATAATACAAATCAAACACTCTGCTTGTCATATAGGATGATGTACACTGCATATTCTCTGTGGTTTTTTTTATGTCTTTGTAAAGCAATCATTTCAAATCATGGGATTTCAATATTATGTATCCTTTTAATAAGACTTTGACTTAATGATATATCTGGCTCATATCAACTTATGATCACTTCTTCAACTTTCTAGTACATTTTGCTTTACTAATCACTTTTCTAAGTTGCTTTCAAAAGTACATTATTATATGAAAAGAAATTTTTTTTCAATCTAAAACAAATCTGCAACAATTTTTTCTTTATTCATGGAAAGTTTAATTGCAAGTCAAATACCTTAGCATTTTATCTGTTTTTTGTTCCATACAAATTTAATAAAAACTTCACACCCAAATTAAGAGCAAGCCCATAGACTCCTGCTTAACTACATTAAAGTTGTCTTCCATTTTCCAACATAATGTAAATAGTAAGCACCACTATTGTTAGATTGGAGATATTGAAACCATTTACAAACTAAGTAACAAAGACAAACTATCTGGATACCCATTGGGTCGTATAAGGTATGGCAAATGGTCAATTTCACATACCTTTACAAAAATTTGCATAAAATAATGTTGATCTTCAACATAAAAATAATAATATCCATACAACTCTTATCAGAGATTTTAATATTCAGTATTATTTTAGGTAGGCTCTGACTCTCCATGTATAACATTAAGCAATCAATCAATCCCAGTGCATGATATTCTGTGCATTTTCTCTTCTTAAAACTAAGGTGTAAACCAGAGTTTTCAACTCCAAAAGGCAAAGCTACCCTTAGACAAGCAGACAGAAAGTCACAGGATAAAAGGTCATAAATAATTTGTTGACAATTGTTTGAATATATAAGAGAAAGATCTTGAAACATTTACTTTTTATTACATATATTCATTTTACAGTTTAGGAAATTGTTCATTAGCCTTGATAAATTATGATTTATTAAATTTTAATCATGCAAAGGATATATTTCTTGGCACCATGAAGCTGTTTATTTTGTTACCTTAACAATTATTTGATCATTATTGATATTTTTTTAACAAATTTTGTTTACAAAGTTGGTTTATATATACAAGAGTTCAAGAATTTCACAAAAATGTTTTTTTTAAAATAAGTGTTTTCTTATTCAAAGAAAATAATCTCAAAACTGAATTGTGACTTTTTGTCCTGTGACTCTGTCATACATTCCCTTAGACTACTATAATCTTTATAGAAAAATCTCAATTTTATTTTTAGATTTCATGAATAAAAGTGAATTTGAACATATTATTTGCATTTCATTTTAAATCTTTGAATTTAATTGTATTTTCTGATAATTTCTGAAAAAATCGATTCACCATTTTCTTATATATTTTTGAAGTTTAACATGACCTAGTTGTATGTAAAAATCCTCAAAAGTCTGTTACATACACAATTACTATTCATGGCCTTAAGTACAATTCTCGGAGAATGACCTGACATTGTTTACAATAATTAATGTCACTGACCAACATTTATAAACTATTTACACAGCTTAGAGATGTAATAGGGCAATGATACACACATCATACTAAACAACAAATTAACAATAAAAGAAAAACAAATTGATAATGACAATTTTATTGTGTATTGCCATTAAAATGTTTTTGATTTATAAGACATTAAACAATGATAGATAAGGTGTCATTTCTGACAATATTGCACTAAATGATATACCTAAAATAAAATATTTTATGAAGATACATTGTGTAATAGTTAAACACTTGTCACATTGTGTAACTGTTAAACATATGTCACACTATTTGTAGACTTTGAAATTACATGAATAAAAAAGTCAGAATATTACACATTTACACTTGTTTTCATGCTGTAAGGGAGCTACCATTTGATTTTTAGGGGGGGGGGGGCTAGGATGAAAAATGTTGTCCTGCATTTTTTTTTAGTTTTAATCTCTGTCCTGCCTTTTTATTTTTCACTCTATTCGGTCCTGCCTTTTTTTTATTAGTTTATCCTGACTTTTTTTACATAAATTGTCATCCTGCCTTTTTTTTGCCAAGTTGCTCATCCTGCCTTTTTTTCAAATTTCATCCTAGCCCCCATAAAAATTAAATGGTAGCTCCCTAATCCAAACATAACTGTGATTTCTTATGTCCATCATATGTAAAATTACAAAATAAATGGTAAACTATTATTAGATTGTTGATATTAGTTTATGCGTAATAAGTGATGATTTGGCACACATATAAACTATAAATGCATTTTATGCAACAGGTCTGCATTGGCTCCTCCAATAATAATTTAGAAAAGAATCCTGAAATAAGCCCCAAAGCAGTCATTTTGTTTCTGTTTCCAAAGAAGATTCCTCCATTTTATCCATTCATTTCCACAGAAGGTTTCTTCATTCCACCCATATCCAAAGAGGGTTTTTATTTTAACAAATTTATATCCCCCATTTTAACTGTTGATAAAAATAGACAATAAAAACATCTAAATAATTCAATTTTCATCAATGGAGATCCCTGAATGCATCACCATTCAAAACTCCAATACTCAGTACTTATTCATCAACATATTTAGCAGGTAATCAGAAAAATATTTTTATGGCTAAAAACTTATCTACAGCATACTACCTTCTTCCTAAACAGACTCCAACCAGAGAAATCACCCTTATAACACCTTAAAAGCTCTAAAGCTATTTGAGCATAACTAAGAAATTGGGCCCTATATTTTGCCTGTACCCCAGATACCAAAATGGTCTATCTTATTAAGGTCATGGCTGGCAGGACATCAGACATCAATTATTTGTTACCGGTAAGATTACAAAATTACCAACAACCATCTGTTCAAGATGGCAAAGTTTATGAATGAGTGATCAAACTGATGAATGACATGATTTTAATTATATAAAATATAAGTATTATGATGATCACTGCCATGAAAATTTTCTGAATATTTCATATCATCAATTCCTTTATCAATTCAAAAAATTCTAGCTGTAGGCTACCCCGATGTCGGTGGAAATTTGAACATGTAAATTTGTTGCATAAAAGTTTGTAATGAAATAGAAAAAGTTATGGAAATTAGCATTAACGGCAAGTACTTGGTGATGCGATCTACTGTAATATAAAATATATTAATGAAAGGGGGTAATTTGAGCAAGACAAACAGCAGTTATGTATAAGTCAACCTGACATGTGAAGGAATAAAAAGCATTCTTTTAATAGCAAGTCAAAACTAGGTGTCTAGGTTGTGTTTTTTCATGACAGCAAAACCCTGTATTATCATTCCAGATTCATCAAAATGTCATGTTTTGATATTGGGAATAGAAATTATGACACTTTCATTTTATATGCAGACCATTTGGAATTTCATCGATTCAAAAATTCTAAACATCACTTCACTGCCTAATATCATCTAACAAATATTTAACAAAACAATTAAAAGTTTACATCATAACATCACATCCATAGTATTTATTCACTAACATTTCAACATCACTTTGAGTGACTAGTTTTAAAAATGTGAAAAGATTTGTTGCTACAAAAAAGTAAAAACAAATACTTGAATTGTATAAACAAGAGTTAACTTATAATAAACCTTTATAGACAGATATTCTGTCTGATAGGATGGTGAACTCTTCTACCATTATATTACAGTTTTTTGAGCTAACAAAATATGCAACCTTAACTAGGGTTTATTGGTGAAATGTTGGTATTCAGTTTCACATAAATATACGGTTGTTGCAATCTTTTTGAAAGTTAAAGTCATCATATGTAAACCATATGTAAAAATAATGTGTGTGCATGCACTGTAAATGTATTAATTTTCATGATATCTAAGTTTTTTGTTTGCAGCAGCATTATTGTGGTACTAATAATACTTTATATGAAAAATAAATTTTACAGTGAGAAAACCTACTATCAAAAGTTCCGTCAAGGTCAAATGACTTCTGTCAAATGGACAAAAAAAAAAACACCAAACTATTTCAAATATTGTTGACTAATCATGTACAGTTTAAACTTGCCCTATTTTTTGTTGTCCATAACATTGTCTACAAATTTCGAATATTTTGGTCCAGTCACCAGGTACTTAGAATTCTTGTCGTAAACCCCTAATGATCACAAATTATTATGTAACAAAAGGTTATATCTCTAAAATGTTTAATATTGAGATGCACAAAAAAAAAAACACCTTTATCTGCTTTTGATGGGTCATAATATTGTGATAAAACTTAGAAGATAAACCAACAATGAATATGGAAACCTAAAAAATACTGCTTTTAATTAAACAAACTCGTCAAATCAACCAAAATCAAACCTTATTTGTATTTTATATTACAAAACCTTTCAGAAAGTTTGTTAAAGAAAATTATTGAAGCACTTTTAAAAAAGCTATTTTTTTTCAAGCCTGCTTTAAGCATTCATTAACTGCATTAGAAATCCTGTACAAACATTTCAACAAAAAATATTCCCCCAAGAAACCATTTACGTCCCTCATTAGATAAAATATATTTGCCCTACCTCTCAAGATTTGTTTTTTTTGGTACTGATATAGAAAAAAAAATCAATATAAAACCATAGATTTAATTCATCATTTATAATATGACAGAAAGAAAATTGCTACTTTATGTTCATTTCTATTTAGAATATAGGTCCTTAGGCTACTACAATATGATAAATCAAAACTCGGAGGGTTGTCATTAAAAACCACTGTGTTGAAATATCAAGATGTTGTCAATGACTAATTTACAATTATCCCATCAATACTCATAAATAGGGGTTGTTTAAACAACGACCTATTATTGAAGACAATATGTTTAAAACCTCTTTATGTCTTTTTTTTCTATTTTGTCCTGTTGTTGCATTTCTGTCTCATTTATATAAACCCTGCGTCTTTATTCATAAATACATTTATCATATCAATTGAAATCAATTTTTCCCCCTAATGCTGATTTGGAGAAACAAGGCAAACAAATTTTAAATCTGAACTATCTTTAGTCAAATATCTTATTTTACACTCCTGCCGGAGTGGGAGACTCAAGCTTAGAGTTTATTTTGATTCACCAATCTAAATAGAATTTTCAAACCCCCCCCAAAAAAATGGTCTGCACAGGATATTTTAAAGGACAGTCCACTAGAACAGAATTTATTAAGCAGAAAATCAAGATATCATACACTAAAGGTATGATAAGAATGTCTTTAACATTATACAGCAAAATGTGGTACAACATGTTTTAAGGCTTGATGTGGCAGTATGAGTTACAAACAACCGTATAATGAGCACATTTGACATACATGACATTAATTCAGGTTACATTTTGATATACATGTACTTAAACATGATGCACTTCCTCTATACAACAAAATTTCACTGTTGGCAAGTAAAAACACCACACACACAAAAAGTTTTTCTCACAGAACAAGTATACCATGGGCTGATGATGAAAAAATCTTTTATCAACAATTTACTCTGTTTATCACTGGTATAAACTGTAGATATAGGATCATGTCAGGAACGTTTCGTACTGAACAGTTTTCCTGTTACTGGACATATATGTTTATTTTTAGCACAATGCACATGAGTTACAACACCGTTGGGATATCGTACAAACGCAGTGTCATTAAATGCCCTGCTACATACAGCACACATTCTGAAAAAGATAAAAAAATATTTTGTTAATCAAATTTGTTAATTAAACTTAAAAACTTTTATAAAATCAGGACGATAAGGAGCTTGACATATTGTATGGATATATGTCTATTGTTGCCTTCTCTAGAAATGTTTTGATTATTTTTGTCTTTGGGTTGCAGTCTCATTGATGTATACCCCACATCTCCTTATGTTCATAACAGACATATGACAGATGATAGTTAGCATGCTCATATCCTCTACCCAAACACATCAGTGTCAAGTTAGAAGTCTCTTACCCCTAAAAAAAATATGAAACAGCCATTTCTGATTTCCTCTGATAATTGAACTGAAAGAAGTAATTCTGACATGATTTAAATGGAAGGTGTGACATCATAAATAATTATGCAATATAGTAATGTCCAATTACATTAGCGGTACCAATTTTACTGCACCATGAGATGCACATTTCAACAATTTATGTCTCTTCAGTGGTGCTTGAAGCCAAACTTAATTTCTAAAGATGATCCCCCATCAAACATTTCAAATGTATTATCAGAGTAACTTTCATACAAATTTGAGGAGTAATTGACAAGAATTAAAAAGTTGCAGGCAATGCCAAAGTGATGAAAGGTCAATTGAGTGATGTAATGCATTGCCTTGAGGTTTAATAGAATGTAGCATTTCTGTAGTGGAAATTAAATTCTAATGGTAAAGAACCACACAATAATAGATATCTATTCAAATTCTTTTTACAAGTCATTCAAAATGCTGGCAGAAGTGTCATCATATAGACATTTTTCTTAATGATGTCTGACAGATGTGTTACTCTAAAAGTTTTCTTTCCAGATGGTTTCTTTGATGTAACCAATCACTTTCTTTTTAAGGTGCATCTACCAAGTCAGTAGCACCATAGTCAAGTCCATCTGTTGATTTCATTTTTGATATCTATAATTATTGAAAGCAGTTTTTTAATTGATAAAAATATCTTAATCTTATCTTTAGAAAGTATTATCTGGATTCAGCAAGCTATAGACCTTAGACGGCTGCATATATATATATCTGTAGTTCAGGCTGTTTGTATTAGAAAATTATTTTTAAAAAAAACTCTGATGAAATTATAAAATTTAAAAGCACAAAAAAAAACAACTTTATATTGAACACAAAGTTTCAACAGATTGCAGTGATGAACTATGAGAGTAACACATTGAAATCAAACTAGGAGAAAGTAAATGTAAGGAAGGTGAAAATTGAATTTCTAAAATGTTCCAAAGAACTACTGTCACTTTATATCATCAAATATTATCTATAATTTTCAAAAATTAAAACAGCACTTTAAAAATTTCATGCACCCGAAGCTTTTCTAGATTAACCTTCATCAGGAATGCTCAAGGCAGAATATTTGAAAGCCAAGGATGTATGAGAACCAAAACACGAAGAGCTATATGACAAATAAGGGCCTTAAAATAATAACCAAATCCATGTCAACTTTAAATATTTGTCAAAATATAAAATAGCATCTCAAGTTTGAAACGGACCACATTTTGAAATAAAAAAAATCCAGTTATTTTTCATGCAAGATTACTAATTTTAATATGTTACCTTGCTTACAAAAGGACAGTCAAATGAAGACAAATAAAAGCCAATCTTATTACCACACCTGACAACTTATAACTCTCAACAACCTATAAAGTCATTCAATTAATAGGCAAGTGTCAAATATCTTCTTCACAACATTTCTCCTTACATATTGGTATCCTGAGAGAGAAATTCATTGAAAACTTTCAATAGAATTTTATATCTCAAAACCTGAAAACGTGTATTACACAATCAAAGATCCTGAAATCTGTCTGACTGTAGGACATTTCTGGCATAATTTGGTTCAGTCATATATGCTCAGTTTTCTCAATTGAATTATCTCATATTTTCATGTCCCTGGCCTTTTATAGCCAATTATATGGAATGGGTTTTTTCTCATTGTTGAAGGCTGTACAGTTGCCTATAACTGCTTACATCTACTTCATTTGAACTTTGGTTGATAGTTGTCTCATTGGCAATCATACCACATCTCCTTATTTTTATATTTTAAGGGGTGTCTGACCTAATGTTTGACAGCAATAAACTTAAAACAAACAAATAATTATATCTTTAGTCAGGCAGATTGTCTTTCGAAACAGATTTTCTAAGAGGTTCTCTAACTGAATGTCTGATATATGTGATATCATCTTTTATCAAATGGAAACAGCCAAACAGTTAAGTTAAAAATCAGTTTAACTGTGAGGTTTGGAATCACAAAAGAAATAAAAAGTACCTTTTTAATCACTTTTTTTTGTATTGCAAATAAAAAAAAAAGCAGGGTACAATGTTCATGGTAGTATTTGATTCAAAACAGACTATTTATCAATTACTGAGTTAAATGCTGAATTAAGATTGTAATGGGTAAACAGTTATGAGATGCAATATAATATAATAGATACAATTATTTCTATACTACTTTGTTGAAAAACATATTTAAATAAATTTCATATTCATGCATTTGAATGGGACCTAACCGAAAATAGTACAGCACTATTAAAAAAAAAAATTATCGGTAGATAAATATAGACGTGGGAAGAATCATTAATGTAATTTCTTTGAATTGAAGACATAACATAATGTGTTGCTTCTACAAAGTTTTTCCATTCATAAAAAAATACAACTGCGTGCTAACATGCTATTTTTTATTAAACTCAATTAAAATTTTGATATAATGTTTTTCTATCATTTCTATGCCAGTACAAGGAGATACGACAACATTTTTTCAATTTAAGAATTAAGAGATATTACCACTATAAAAGTATTTCCAAATACAAGGAGAATTAAATATCCACTGACAGAAATGTCTATCCTCAACAGAAGAATATAGGGTCAGCCAATTTGACTATATGTAAAATGGCATGATCACTTCAAGTGCATAACAATTTTTATGACAACTGTGATAATGAAAGTTCTAAAAAAAATTAGAAAGGCATGTTTGGAACAACAAAAGAGAAATATATTAAAGTCCAGCTTGACCTCTATGTAACAGATTCTAAACAACTTATGGAATTTAAATTTTGAAAACCCAAAACAGGACAATTAATTAACTGCTCATGGGTAACAGTAATGCAGTTCTTGTTGTCTGATGTGGGAAGGATAAAAATAGTTTCAGAGAAGACTTTTGTAAATTGGTAAATAAAAATCAAATATTGCCCCCTGGCAGCCATGTTTTGACTTTGTATGCAAGATCTCCCATGTATTATTCTTGCCAAATTTGTTTCAAATAGGCGAAATAGTTTCAGAGTAAACGTTGAAAATGTATATTGTCTAACTCAATGTTAATAGACAACTATATTGTCTAACTCAATGTTAATAGACAACTAAGTACAGATGCAAAGTGATGACAATAGTTCACGGACTCAAAATGCTGTTTGATTTTTCATCTTTGTACCTTATACTGAATACTTTCTTCAGTGCTTATCAAATTTACTACCAAACAAAGGTTGCTTGTAAGGTGTGCAAATAATGTTTTCATCATTTGGACTCTAGTGGATAGTTGTCTTATTGGCAATCATACTACATCTCCTTACTTTTATATTCAATAGGGATGGGACTCATAAGCTACAAAATGGCCATAAGCATTTGATTTAACAGTACCAGTAATGAAGAGTAGCCTGAAATGCAGGTAGATTGCTGTAGGGTGTTTACCTCACAAAATTAATCCTCAGTTGTGTAAATTACTTATACTTACGTAATATAAAAAACTGATTTTGGAATCAAGTCTGAATGTAATAACGAGGAAATGATGAAATATTTTGATGTGGTTAACTAAACATTTTATTACATTCCATGGTTGACAATAATTTGTTCTGTGTAGGTAGAGAGATTAATTTGTTACAATGATGATGCTATAATTTGACTAACAATGTGTCAATGGTCTAGTCAATACTAATGTCATTGATGACTGTATAAGGCTGCTAAACACCCACGTAGTCTATGTTTCAACAAACTTATCTAAAGCTAAATGAAAAGAATTCATATACCACAAAACACGAACATGCAGCCCACAAATAACTTCTTCCAAAGGTGTGAGGAAAAATGAGAAATATTGTTGATCTGAAGTCGGATCTCCAACTATCATAAATGTAGATTCAAGATGTGAATCTTTCATACATCATTCCATATATAGACAGACCTTTCATACATCATTCCATATATAGACAGACAACAAAAAAGGGGGCAATAGAAAAATCATTTGTCAAACATTGTTTTCCTGTCCATTTAAGTCTGAACTAAGTGATGGTAGGACTATTGATGAGGACAATACCTCTTAAATGGTAATAAACCCTCCCCCTAATCAATGGTGCTATTCTAAAGCTAGCTTAATTATTCTGAGAAGCAATATATATTGCAAGAGTGAGATAGCTTTTAAAGCAAAATATACATGATTGGTCAATATTTCCGATTTTGATGAAATTTTGTATGCATTAAGAAATTATTGAACTGAATCTCTCTCTCTCAATATCTAAAAATTGTATAAATAGCATTTATACTTCTAGAGATACTATAAGTCAGTTAAAAATTTGTGAAAATTGCATTTTTCACATTTGAACTGGTATCTTAAAAATGTATTCACTAAAGTATTTAAATTTCTCACTCCTGATTACCTGATATGGCAGAGTTAAACTAGATTTGTAAGCTGCTTAGTTTCTAGAAACCAATATGGGTTTTATAAGGCTTTTAAAAAATGGTGTAATGGTGGCTTCTTCTCTTCAATTCAACATTTAAAGTAGACACAACATTTTGCAGGGCTCTTAGTGGCTGAGCTGTTTTAGTATTTGGTAGATATCTTCCTGTACAGATAATTACTTGGTTAGGAGTTTGTCTTCTACATGAGTAAATCAGATGTCTACCACAGTATGTACCATAGTTTTTCAGTTCTTTGTATTGTAACGTCTGTGAATCATCACTGGAACTTAATTGATTTCCTCCATAGTAAAACTT